AGTTTATAGCGGCATACTGTACAGCATCGTCAACAGTAAAAATAAAAAGCACTTCAATTTTGTTTTATTTAACTTCATATGATCCATGAAATAGGCTACCACCGGACCTCACCCGGACGGTGATGATGACGAGAGACCCTTCTCTAAGCGTCTCGAAATGATCGCCATCAGGGTCGCTAAATTGGGCATTTTTGATCACGTCAATGGAGGCAGCGGACAATTTCAAAAATTGTCCAAACCGAAGCCGATTTTACTCATCCAGCACTGTAAAACTATGCCATGCCTTACAAAAGCACTCAATTCAATCTGTTTAAAATGATCCATGAAATAGGCTGCCACCGCTCGGTGAGGATCGCCATATTCCAACACTGTAAAATTGTGCCATAACAAAAGCACTTCAATTTGTTTGTTGATGATCCATGAAATAGGCTACCAACGGAACTACTACCGGACGGTGATCATCGCCATCAGGGTCGTTATTTAAATTTGGCATTTTTGATTACGTCAATCGAGGTAGCGGACAATTTCAAAAATTGTCTAAACCGAAGCCGATTTTACCCATCCAGCACTGTAAAACTATGCCATGCCATACAAAAGCACTCCATTCAATTTGTTTAAAACGATGCATGATATAGGCTGCTACCGGACGGTGATGATCGCCATATTCCAGCACTTTAAAACTGCGCCATATAAACTTCAATTTGTTGGTTGTAAAATGATCCGTGAAATGCACTACTTTTGTATGGAGCAGTTTTACGCTGCCGGTCCCGAATATTCTCGATGCTGTACCCCTATAGTATGGTATCAGTGTTCCATACAATCCTATTGTTGATAGTGTATGACCTTTGAATTCACGGGAAAAATAAATTCACGTAGCGCAGCATGACTTACCGTACAATTTTGACCCCGTCCAAATCAAATTTTAATTCTCTTGCATTTGCATTAGGTAAAACTATTGTGCAGTCGTCTCTGGTAATGTACATTGTACAGTAATGCAATCAGACGGGACCTACTGCACAATTTTTACCCGGTCTAAATCAAATTTTAATTTTCTTGCATTTGCATTAGGTAAAACTATTGTGCAGTCGTCTCTGGTAATGTAATGCAATCACATGGGACCTACTGCACTATTTTTACCCAGTCCAAATCAAATTTTAATTCTCTTGCATTTGCATTAGGTAAAACTATTGTGCAGTCGTCTCTGTACTGCACAATTTTTACCCAGTCCAAATCAAATCCAATTCACTCGGATTTGCATTAGGCTAAACTATTGTCCAGTCGTCTCTGGTAATGTAATGCAATCAGACAGGACCTACTGCACAATTTTTACCCAATCCAAATCAAATCCAATTCACTCGGATTTGTATTAGGCTAAACTATTGTCCAGTCGTCTCTGGTAATGTAATGCAATCAGACGGGACCTACTGCACAATTTTTACCCAGTCCAAATCAAATTTTAATTCTCTTGCATTTGCATTAGGTAAAACTATTGTGCAGTCGTCTCTGGTAATGTACAGTAATAATGCAATCAGACGGGACCTACTGCACAATTTTTACCCGGTCCAAATCAAATCCAATTCACTTGCATTTGCATTAGGTAAAACTATTGTGCAGTAATCTCTGGTAATTTAATGCAATCAGATCGGATGATCACTTATCTCAGAATGCAGTAGGCGTAAACTGTGGAGAGAATAGAATCTCTAAAATAGGGAGGTACCTTATGATACGAGAGTAGAGTGTGCGTACGAATAGAAATAGAAAGGTTCTTTAGGTACATGATCCATTCTGTCATCCTTCTAAT